GGGGATGCTCCGGGGATGCTCGGGGGATGCTCGGGGGATGCTCCGGGGATGCTCGGGGGATGCTCGGGGGATGCTCCGGGGATGCTCCGGGGATGCTCGGGGGATGCTCGGGGGATGCTCCGGGGATGCTCCGGGGATGCTCGGGGGATGCTCGGGGGATGCGGGGTTAATGCTCTCCGCACAGAGCCCCTTTGTGCCGGGCGCCGGGCTGACCCTGCCGAGCCCCTTTGTGCCGGGGCGGTGTGAGAGCCGGGGGCACTGCCAGGGTTTGCTGTGGGCCGCTGCAGGGACTGCTGCCAAGCTCCTGCGAGGTGCTGCCCTGGTTTCCTGCTGCGCTGGCGGAAAGCACCCAAATACCCCGTTTCTTCACCCAAACTAAGCTTGTACCAACCAGTGCCCGCACAAGAAGAAAATATAAATGCATTTCAGGGCTATTACTGCTAATTGCGAGAGGGAATCAGGAGGTCACAGAATGCACCGTGAAGACCATCTTCTTCCAGACCCTGCTATGGCAGGGACACCTTCCACTGTCCCAGGTTACTCCAAGCCCCGTCCAGCCTGGCCTTGGACACTCCCAGGGATCCAGGGGCAGCCACAGCTGCTCTGGGCACCCTGTGCCAGGGCCTGCCCACCCTCCCAGCCAGCAATTCCTTCCCCATATCCCATCCTGCCCTCTTTCAATCTGATCCGATTCCCCTTATCCTCTCACTGCATCCCTTGTAAATGGTCTTTCTCCATCTCTCTTGTCAGCCCCTTCAGGTCCTGGAGGGCCACAATTAGGTCACCCCAAATCTTCTCCTCTCCAGGCTGAGCAATCCCAATTGTCTCAGCCTTTCCTCATGGAGGAGTGTTCCCTCTGATCATCCTGGTGGCCTCCTCTGGCCTCACTCCAGAGCTCACTGGCCCAGATGTTCAAAGAGACCAGCCCATGGCCGTGCCACAAGCCAAAGGGCTGGAGCCACGGCGGGAGAGCCCAGATCCTGCCTCACTCACAGGCAGGGCAGGTGCTGGGAGCGCTCCCATGGCATGGGATCTGTGTGCTTTGGCCTCAGCTTGAGGCCACGATGGCTCTGTATTTTCTGTTTCCACTTTGTCCTTTGCTGGGCCACTCCAGGGCTTGGAAACACCTGTGCTGAGGGCCAGACCAGGATCACGGTGCTGGAGCCGGGCTTGTCAGCGTGTGTTTTGCTGCAGTGGCATCCTGGAGCACGCTGCCAGACAGCAGCCCCATCTGAGAACACCCAAGCACCGCTGTATTCCGGCACTGGGCTTTGCCAGGAGGGCCCCAGGATGCCCTTAAGTGTCCCTGGCTGTGTGTTTGTCACCTGGGGCTCAAGAGCCACGGGCAGTTTCCCTGGTGGTTTTAACAATAACTGCTAATGTTCCTATTCCTCTTTCTGCTTTCGGTTCCCACCCTTCCATCCACAGGCACAAGCTTCTTTTAAATACCTTCCTGCTCACGGGGTAACCAGATGGGAACATTCATTTTAATCCTCGACAGCAAAACAGCAGAGTTACAGATTACTATGCCACCAGAAATTGCTTATACACCTTCGTTTCCTCCCATGTAATTCCTTGGGAGTTTTAATTTACGGGACCATTTTTTATTTTTTCTCGCCACTTCCCTTGCATCAGGCAGGGTTCCTTCAGCTCCAACAAAGCAGCATGCCTGTCTGGAGGGGATCAATAACTATTGAGCTATCACGCTTCCTCCACTTAGACTGTTGAAGCAGCTTCCTTTAATTGCTCTTTCACACTGTAAATACAGCGATTTTTTTTTTTTCCTTTGAGGCTGCTCAGTGGGTGAAGGCACCCGCGGGTAGCAAGAGCTCAGCTGCCTCACCTGTGATCCATCACACCTCCTCGGCTGGGAGCGCCTCCGGAGCGCAGGGACGCTGCCGAGCTCCGGGGGCCACAGCGGGCCCCAGAACGGTCCCACGGGGACGATGGCTTGGTGCAGAGCCAGAAACCCGCAGGATGAAACTGATGAGCACGTTGGGAAAAGGGCTGAAAGCCCAGCCGCGAGGGTCAGGGTGCCCAGCAGCCTCCGCTGAGAGGGATGCCCCGAGCTGGGGGCCAGGCGGGGTCCCCTTCCCCCGGATCCTCAAAGGGGCTGGGGCAGAAGGGGGGAACGAGATCTCTGCCGGTGCCTCCAGGGGAACGGATCCCCCTTCTCTCGGGGATGGCAAGGGATCACCAGGCTCACCGGGCTTCTCTCGGGTCTGGCGAGGGAGGAGCGGAGGGTCTGGATGACCTCCGGCAGCTCCCCCCGGCCATAGCGAGTGGGACCGGACTCCTCCGTGCCGCTCCCCCCGGGGATGGCGAGGGGGGTCCGGACCCCTGGGGTGGCTTTTCCCGGGGATGGCGAGAAGGGGAGCGGGGAGAGCGGACCCCTGGGGCGGCTGTTTTTCCCGGGGATGGCGGGGGATGACCGAACGGACCCCGGGGTGGCTTTTCCCGGGGATGGCGGGGGATGACCGAACGGACCCCGGGGTGGTTTTTCCCGGGGATGGCGGGGGATGACCGAACGGACCCCGGGGTGGCTCCTCCCGGGGATGGCGGGGGATGACCGAACGGACCCCGGGGTGGTTCCTCCCGGGGATGGCGGGGGATGACCGAACGGACCCCGGGGTGGTTCCTCCCGGGGACGGCGAGAAGGGTTCGCACCCCTCCGGCGGCATTTCCCGTGGATAGCGGGGGATGACCGGACCCCCGGGCGGTCCCTCCCCGGAACGGGTGGGGGGACCCGATGCCGGGGGCGGCTTTTCCCAGGGATGACGAGGGAGGACGGGACCCCCGGGCGGCTCCTCCCGGGGATGGCGAGTGCGGAGCCGACCTCTCCAGCGTGTTTTGCCGGGGATGGCGAGGGATGCGCGGTGCCTCCCGGGGATGGGGGGGTTCGCGGCCGCCGGCCCCGCCTCCCGCAGGTGCCGGCGCGGCGGGGGCCGGGTTGACGTCAGGCGGGGCGGGCGCGGTGCCGGTGCCGGTCGGGCCATGGCGGAGCCGAGCGCGGCGGACCCGGTGAGTGCGGCGGCCCCGAGCCCCGCCGGGCGCTGCCGCTGAGCGGGGCCGGGCGCGGGGAGCGGGCGGCGGATCCGTGCGGGACCGCCCGCGGGAGCGTCCCTGGAGCGGTGCCGGTGTCGCCTCGTCCTTCCCGTGCCCCGGAGCCCCCTGGCCCGGCACAGAGGGGTTCAAACCCGTGAGAGCCGGCTGTGCCTGCGAGGGCGAGCGGAGACGCGGGCATCGCTTCTCCGCGGCTTGACACGGGCTCGGTGCGTCTTTGTGTGCCCTGTGGGCTCGCTCGGGCGCCGTGCGACCGTGTGTGCCCTGTCTGTGTGTCCGTGCCCGCCGGTCGGTGTGTGCCCTGTCTGTCTGTCCACGCTGTGTGTGTCTGTGTGTGCCCTGTCTGTCTGTCCGTGCCCTGTCTGTCTGTCTGCACTGTGTCTGTCCGCGCCCTGTCTGTCCGCGCTGTGTGTCTGTGTGCCCTGTCTGTCTGTCCACGCTGTGTGTGTCTGTGTGCCCTGTCTGTCTGTCCATGCCCTGTCTGTCTGTCCGTGCTGTGTGTGTCTGTTTGTGCCCTGTCTGTCTGTCCGTGCTCGTGTGTCTGTGTGTGTGCCCTGTCTGTCGTCTGTGCTGTGTGTGTCTGTGTGCGCCCTGTCTGTCTGTGCTCTGTCTGTCTGTCCGTGCTGTGTGTGTCTGTGTGTGCCCTGTCTGTCTGTCCGTGCCCTGTCTGTCTGTCTGCACTGTGTCTGTGTGCGCCCTGTCTGTTCATGCTGTGTGTCCTGTCTGTCTGTCCATGCCCTGTCTGTCTGTCCGCGCTGTGTGTCTGTTTGTGCCCTGTCTGTCTGTCCACACTGTGTCTGTGTGTGTGCCCTGTCTGTCGTCCGTGCTGTGTGTCTGTGTGTGCCCTGTCTGTCTGTCTGTGCTGTGTGTGTCTGTTTGTGCCCTGTCTGTCTGTCCGTGCTCGTGTGTCTGCGTGTGCCCTGTCTGTGTGTCCGTGCTGTGTGTCTGTGTGTTCTCTGTGTTCGTGCTGTCTGTGTCTTTGTGCACCCTGTCTGTCTGTCCGTGCCCTGTCTGTCTGTGCTGTGTGTGTCTGTGTGCACCCTGTCTGTCTCTGTCCATGCCCTGTCTGTCTGTGCCCTGTCTGTCTGTCCGTGCTGTCTGTACGTGCCCTGTTTGCCCACATGAACCCTCTGTGTCCGCACCTGCCCTGCGAGCCCACGCGTGTGCCCGTGGTCCCTGCGGGTCTGTACCTGCCCTGTGAGTCCGTACGTGCCCCGGGGAGTCCCTGTGAACCCTATCCATTGCCCCGGGGTGTCCCTGTGAGCCGTGTCCATCGATCCCGAGGTGCCGTGAGTGTCTGTACCTGCCCTGTGTGCCCACACGGACCCCATCCTGTGTAGATCCTGCATGTGCCCACATGTGCCATGCGTGTCCCTACATGCAGGCTTATGGGTTCACACGCAGTGTCGGCATGCCTGGCAGGTCCCCTGGACCCTTTCCCTGTGACCACAGAGAGAGAAAATTGCTTCTCTCCCTCTGCCCTGCTCCAAGGCAGGCTGCATTTGCTCTCAGTCAGGTTTATTTCCTCTCACCTGGGCCAGACCCTCCGGGGGAGGTGGCAGGTGACAGTCCAGGCTTTAAGGCATGGGCCATGCCTGGCGTGTGGTGATTTTGGCTGGGGAGATCCATCCCGGGCTGCTGCGGTGTGAGGACCAGAAAGGGGAGGCAAACCTGACCCTGGCGTGGCAGTGGCTCCGCTGGGCTGTCCGCACACAGCTGCCCAGAGGAATCCTCCACCCCGAGGTGTGGGGCTGCTCAGGGTGATGTTCCCTCCTTGCACAGCCCCTGAATATCAGGCTAGCCCAGAGGTCCGAGGCTGTGAGGGGAGGAATGTCAGGAGATGGCAAAGATTCCCAAAAGAGGCTCTTACCCCAGATATGTTGTTCAGCTCTCTTTATTCTGTGGTGTCCATGGGGAGAGCGGGGCACAAGAGCACGAACAGGAAATGTCAGGGGTCTGTACAGACTTTGGACAGGGTGGGCTTCCCTGGCTCTCCCGCTGGGGCAGGAAGGAGGATCCAGGGTATCTGATCAGATAACAGGGTCCCGGGAAGGGGAAATAGTGCCCATGAGCTCACTGTGACATCAGGGGACAGGCTCCCCAGGCTGCGGGGTGCACCCAGAACTCGCCTTTGCTGCGTGTGGGAGGTGTTGGGGCACCTCTGCCTGCCTGGGCGGTGTGCCCGGGGACGCGGTGCCTGCAGGAGGGGATGTGCAGTGTCCAAGGTTTCCTTTGAACAAGCAGCTGGCTTGGTCGTGGACACGCAGAGCCGAGGGAGGGGGTCCGGCTCTGCAGTCAGCTCTGTGCTGCTGGCTCCTCGCAGTTAATTAGACACGACTAATCCTATCTGGCGCTGGGAACTTCCCAGCAAACCGGAGTGCTTTTCCCTCTGCTGGCCTGAGCAGCATCCCAGCCTCCTGCAGAACGAGGCCTGGAGACAGGGGCATCTTTTTCAGCCCCTCGGGCGCGATCGGGGTGGCAGCTCAGACCTGCCCTGACCTTGCTGTGGCTGGACAGGTGTCCCTCAGGTGGAAGGGGACAAGCCCCGTGGAGGTTTGTGCGTGCAGGGAAAGGGAAGTCACGACTGTAATGAGGAAATTGCAGGAATAAGGGCCAGAGCTGGACTTTTGAGGATAAATCTCACACCCAGCAGGAGAGCATCAGCATTCCCCATCCCTACAAAAGAAGAGGGGGCAAAGGGACAGGATAATCCCTGTTCCATTGATGCTCTTGTGCTTGGGAGAACCAAGTGTTCCCTGCCCTGCCCTGGCCTTGGAGCCAAAGAGGATTGTCAGGCTCACTCAGGGGTATGAGTTAGAGGCGGATTTATCAGTGCCGGGTTAATGGTTGGTGATCTTGGAGGGCTTTTCCATCCTAAAGGAGTCTGTGACTGATTCATCGCAGTTCTTTCCCTCCTGCAGCTGAGCCCAGCCTGTTAGTGAGCTCTGATAAAACCTGAAATCCCAGTCAAATCACCCGCGTTTGGAAAGAATGACATTGATCTCTGGGAGTCCTCCAGGCAGAGGAGCACTGGTGTTTGTCTCTTCTTTGCGCTTAGCACGGAGTCGTGAAGACCTGCCTCCAGGAGCTGGATTAGCTCCTCACCCTGATCCTGCCCCTGGCTTCGCCAGGCAAATTCTCCAGAACTGCTGTTCTGGGCTGGAATTACCTCTCAGCTTTGCAGGCTGCATGCGCCAGCTGGCTTGGAGTTGGATCTTAGTGGGTGCTGTTTGTTTGCCCTTGCTCAGGGGTCTAAAAGGGTCTGTTCCGAGCTGTCCCCCTCCAAACAGGGGGGACAGGCACCTCCAAAGGAGGCTTGTTTCCCTCTCTGGAAAGCCTCGTATGCAGGCCAGGCAAATGCCTTTCCGGGTGCTGCTTCTGATTTGGATAGCTGAGCTTGAAAGGTCTAAATTTAAACGAGATGAATCTCACCCGGTGCTTGCAAACCTTGGTTTTCAGACTTTTCGCCTTGGTCTTTCCTTTTTTTAGCATGACCCTGCTGTTCTCCTACCACTCAGGACTCTTCCCAAGCATAGAAAATGCTTCTGAAACTTTCCACACCCCCAGGTGGGAGGTGTTGCAGAAATGCAACTGCAGGGAAGCATTTGCAGCTCATCCTCCTTTGCAGGCGCAGAAGCCCGGGTTAAACAAGCAGCCTGTTAATTTTGTGTTAATGGCTCTGAGCAACGGCGAGTCCCCCCCTCCACCCCCTTCCTCCCTACCTTGTGCCAACATTTAATTGCTCTCACTCTGGAGAGATGCTATCTCATTTCAAGGTTGAACTTATCTAGTTTTGGCTTGCAGTGGGGGGGATGTTGCCGTGTCCTTGTCACAGAGGTGACTCGTCGCTCGCATCGCTGTCACCGGTTTGCATTTCTCTGTCCGCACCCGCTCCTCGGGAGCCCGAGGCTGCTGTCCCCTCACACCGCGGGGCTCCTGCTCCTCCTGGCGTGGCTTTTGTGGCAGCCTCGGGATGCGTGCTGCCCAGGTGCCCGTCTGGGTGAGCCACGGGTGTGAGCTCGCTATTTTGACTCCT